TTTTTTTTTTTTTTTTGAGACGGAGTTTCACTCATGTTACCCAGGCTAGAGTGCAATGGCGCGATCTCGGCTCACCGCAACCTCCACCTCCTGGGTTCAGGCAATTCTCCTGCCTCAGCCTCCTGAGTAGCTGGGACTACAGGCACGCACCACCATGCCCAGCTAATGTTTTGTATTTTTAGTAGAGACAGGGTTTCACCATGTTGACCAGGATGGTCTCGATCTCTTGACCTCGTGATCCACCCGCCTCGGCCTCCCAAAGTGCTGGGATTACAGGCTTGAGCCACCGCGCCCGGCCGAAAATTTTTTATTATACTTTAAGTTCTGGGGTACATGTGCAGGACATGCAGGTTTGTTACATAGATATACATGTGCCATGGTGGTTGGCTGTATCCATCACTCTGTCATCAACATTAGGTATTTCTCCTAATGCTACGCCCCTCCCCTAATTCCTCAACACCAACAGTACCCAGTGTGTGATGTTCCCCTCCCTGTGTCCACATGTTCTCATTGTTCAGCCCCCACTTATGAGTGAGAACATGTGACGTTTGATTTTCTATTCTTGTGTCAGTTTGCTGAGAATGATGGTTTAAACTTGCTTTGGCCAATCTTACTATGGTATTTGGAGTTTACATTTTATAGTGGAAATGTACCATAAGCATGTTCCATGTTCAGTGTCTCAGTAACAAATATTCCTTATTAATACATATTACCAAAATACAGCTTCTTGTGAAAAATAAATATGAGTACATCCTGAGTATTTCAGAGTATATAGCAACAGGAAGTGAAAGAAAATGCAGTCCACTATGAATGTGAGTTGAGGTGTTTTATCAGCCAAGTGAGATTTGGTAGACTTGGCTTAAAGGCACCATGTCAAAAAACACAATAGCCAAGTAGCATCTATGTAGGCAGGTTATATATAGACAAAGGATAGTATAGACTATTACAAGAATATAATGAGAAAAAGGGATGCTTTCTTTAATGTCATTTATTAACAGCCCTTAAGCTCTATCTATAGAGAAATTAAAGTACTGAAGAGAGACAATTATCTGGAAAGACTGGGTAATAAATTTTAAATTTTTAAAGTTATTCCAGCCCTTACCTACTTTGGTTGTTTTTATTAATCAGATTCACTGAATAATCACCCAATTGCCCAGTAGCTTTGAGTTATAAATGAGCATAAACTGTTTACCCAGGGCAAAAATAAATGAGTTTTCCACTGTAGGACAAAGCTAGGAATTCAGGATGGGAGCTGATCAGAACTAAATGTCCTAAAAAACTTGATGTAGAAGCAGTTAAAGTTGCAGTGGCACATGAGCAGAGGTGATGTAAAAAACATCTAAAATAATAGAAAAAAGATTAATCCCTTGGTGAAATTTCACAATATTTGCACAGTCTGAATGGAAGAGAAATTTTTGGTCTTTTAAAAATTTTTGTAAGCCCCTGAATTTCCAAGCAGGCAATTTAAACCAGCCTTGATGACAGGGCAATAATTTAAAAACAAAGATAAGAGTAGAATTAGAGTAGGTTAATAATAATATGGACTAGACCTGTGACCTCCAATATTTGTGTTTCCTGCCCTTAAACTTTCTGATCTAGATTCCTTAACCACCTCAAAGAAATTCTGAAGAGAAAACGGTAAATGGTAAGCTGTTCACAATACATATCCTCTGATGCTGTCTGTTGATTACAGTCTTATATTCTTTATCTGGCTGAAATGTGAATCACCAATATAATGCATGTGTACTCCATTTCCAACATGAAATTTTTTCTCCCATAGCCTGATAAATGTTTATTCCTTACAGATTATGAAGAGCCATGATACATTTTATGCCATTAAATTCTAACAACATCTCAATGAGATACCAAAAGTGGTTATTAAACCTACCCAGTAGTATATAAAGAGTTAGCAAAACAGAAGTCAGCCTAAGTTTGAAGCCACATTCTGCTACTTACTAACTATGGAAATTTGAGAAGTTACTTAACCTCTTGATGTCTCAGTTTACTCATATGTAAAGTGGAGACAAAAATGTTGCCTCCATCAAAGTGTTGTTGTGAGGTTTGTGTTAGTTAATGCTTGTAAAGTGCCTAGAGCCATGCCTGGAACATAGTAGGTGCTATGTAGTAGTAGTATGCATAGTAGTACTAACTAGGAGCTGTTAGTACTCTATTTAGAGTTAGATCTAATTTTGAAATCTCAGTTCCATGTGTCTTATAGCTGTGTGCCCTGGGAAAATCCCTTCATTTATCTGATCCCTCCTTTATTCTTGGATAATTTGGAGATTAAAAAAAAAATCAAAAAGAAATTTCACAGAGGTGACATGAAGATTTAACGGGATAAAATGTATCACAGTTCTTTGTAATGTACAAGAAATAAAAGTTGACCTAGATGGCTAAGAAGTTTTGGTGCCAGAAATCAACTGTATATATATAATACTAACCTACTTAGACACCAATGTTCACTGACTTTTTGACTCTGGGAGTACATTCCAGATTTTTTTTTGTAATAAATGAAAGTAAAATTGATCCTTAACCCATCAAGGCTAACCTGCAGTTACCATGGAAAATGACAATATTAAAAATTGCACTTCTGACAAAACTTGCATGTTAACAATAGCTTTTCATTTCAGTATGAACATCATTCCCAGTTATGTGATAATATTGTAATCAAAGGTTGAGAAAAGCTAATGAAATACTATAAAATGTCAACTGTAAAATTAATTTTAGTGGAACAAATTGGAGAAGTGGAAAAGACAAATGGGTTGGGAGTAAGACCATCCTAATAATTAGCCATCGGAAATGCTCTCACAGAGCAAAACAAAGGTCACGTGGAGGTCTGTTGCTAAGGTTCTGAATGATGAATCAGAAAGTGGATAATATTCAGAAATCAGTGGAGAAACTAAAGATTTTAAGCCATGTAACAAAATCAATAATGAATTACACTTAGATAAACACTTTCTTCAAGTCTCCAAATACATGGCAATCGTGACAAGCGAGGCAGAAGTAGGTGGAAGGTTGAGGAGGGAAGAAACTTGGCTTTACATCTGGTGATGGGGCAATTTTAAGAGTCCCTCTTCTGATATGAGTTTTGAATATATCAATCAGGAAATGAAGGCCTTATCCTGAATTCGATGGCATTTCTCTCAAATGGCAAGTGGTTTCTCCAAGATTGTGTCTAGACAAAGGAATCCATGACTGAGTGTGGAGTACCTGGGCAGGTCCTTGCTCATCAGTCCCTTTGGTCAGGGGCTCTGAGTTGGTCATCCTTCTGGCTCCTGCAGTGTCTAGAACGGTTTTGCCCAGTAGTCATTAAATAAGTATTTAATGAATAAATCTTCATATATGTCTTACCCAGGCATTTATTAAAAACTTGAAGGAAAAAAATCATCTTCTATTTGTTTACATTCTTTATAGTATATATGGCATAATAAATATAAATATAGACAATTGTTAAAAATTTAATTGGAAGAGTTTTATTTGTATTTTTGAGAAATTATGGTATTAACACATATTGCTGATCCCTTATTGACTAGGAAATTGTAAATTACGATCGTTTATATCAATCGTAGGAAATAAAGCAAATAGCAAAAATGTATGAGTTGATCATTTTCATATGCTTAAGTTCTACCTTAAAACTAAAATTTATTATGAAAATATTTGGGCTCTTATCTAAGCACTGCCACTGACGAGAGAGTTAAGCTTAGAAATTTCACTTTTATTCATAGTGTGACAGAGTTGGCTATTGGATTAAATAAGATAATACATAGGACAGTACATTACACAGTATAAACCTAGAGTTATGGCATGCTCAATGTAGACAGGCACTAGGAAAGAGACTATAACCAGTTTTTTGTTTTGTTTTGTTTTTTGTTTTTTTTTTTTAATGTCACAGTGGTAGTTGTAGAGAACCCCATTAGTTCTGGAATTAGACAAAGTTGTGGCTGAATCCTTAGAATGACACTTACTTACTGACTTTGAGGAGTTATCTGAGTGCCAGATTCCTCATAAATAAAAGGGGGGTCATTCATTTATACCTTCTTTGATTTCCTCAAAAGATAAATATGGAAACGTATATAAGATGTTTAAATTAGTGCCTGACACATGGAATTTGCTTGCCTGTGAGCATTTTCTCTTCCTTCCTATTCTTTTTTCTCCTCTTCTATGAATAGATCCTCAGAAAGGTGGACAGGGAACAATGAGGATATTCAGGAAAGGGAGCAAAAACTGCTATGATGATGGAAGCAACAACAACCATGTGTTACTACTGGCTCTTCTCCATCCCCAAAATGAATTTAGTCTTACTGACTGTACTTTCTTATCTTGTTAGTTAAGGTAGCTAGTCTTGATAAATCGAAGACCTGAGAGTTAATTCTGGCCAAGTGTTTGACTTGCACAACACCAAACATTTCCCTTAAATATTACTCTAAAATTCATTTCTTCATCTGATACTAGTATGTCTGGTAATTTTACAAGTGATGGATAAGGGCTGAGAAATGGGGCAGGGAATAACTAAGACAAAAGAGAAAAACATGCTTGTAAAGTGACTAGAGCCATGTAATTCTGAATATTATCCACCTTCTTATCCCCTAAGAAAGCCTGTGGAAGAAGAAAGGAAGAAGAATCAAATCTGAAACTCATGAAATACATCCTTAATAAAGCCCTTAAATCCCATTACTCTTAAACGTCTGGAATTGACTTGAAGTACTGACAACTGTAGAGCACCATCTAGTTTTGGCCTCTAGAACTGCAACCAAGTCTTCTGATTCTCAGTGGTAGGTGAAGTTATTTCCCAGTGGGGAGAGGAAAACTTACTTTTTAGTGTTTTTAGTTTATTTATTAAAATTCTAAGTTGGCTTTTTTTCTGATTCCCTCGGAAAATAAGCACGCTTTGCGACGGCTGTTGTTCATTTGACACATTGGAGTTTCTTATGGCAAATAAATTATTCATAGATAAATATGAAATATAAAACAGATCATAATAGCAAAGGTTTATGTACATTTAAACACAATGATGTCAGTGCTTTCATTATGAACTTCTTTCTCTGGAGCTTATAAATCAGCAGCATAAATTCCAAGCAAGTGTTATCTTGGTGTATAATGAACTCCAATGTATTTTAGAAACAATCTAATGTTAATAAAATCAGTATTTTATAAAAAGAACAAGATCCCACTTGACAGTTTTAATGTCAAAAGTATCTTTTAGTCTTGAATGGAAAATTAGGTTTTCATTTTCTGAAAATATTTTAAAACAAAAAGTTTTTTGCCATCTTCATTTTTTCTTGGCTTAGAGATTACAATATACATTTCAGCTAATTGTTTATGCTGCCCTTTTTGGTCAATTTAAATATTCTTCCAGTTATGTTTATAGTTCATGTGTAGCTATTTAGAAATAATTAAAAGAAAGGGAATGAAATTTTACAAGAGTTTTTAAAAGAATGAGAACACAGATTGATTTATTTAGCTTGAATTTTGTTTGTAAAAAGGCATCCTTCATGCTTGACAACTCACCATAGTATTCATGTTCTATTCCTACAGAGGCTTTAAAAATATTTATTAGCTACAAAAAGAGTAATCACTTTTGATTATTCTGACAAAAATGTTTTAAAAGTTTCACATTGAAAAATGTCATCAATGCTTCAAAATCATAATACTTTAAATTTATATAGTATCATAGTACTTCAAAACACTATTTAATACATCACCCATTATCAACAAGCTTTATGTAAGAGGCCACTTTAAGTGCTTTAACCTATATCTTTTCTGTTCCTTAATTGTTCTACCTATACTTAATTAAATTTCTGGTTTATATTTTTCCTCTTGCCATGTAGTTGAAAATGTGTCTATTACTCTAGGAAAAATTTAACTACCTGATGCCAGGGTTCAGTCGTTACTGGGAGCAGCAGAGTTTTAGTATTCAGGTCATTTGATGCTTCTCAAGAGCTAAAACATAATTAGGTAATACTGAACCTGATGACAGGTGAAATAAAGCATCCTTCAGTATAGTCACTTCTATAACACCCTGAAGAATTACTCTCATCCCAATTGACCCAATCATGCGCTGTTCTGAAGAGGATTCAACACATTTGTCAGTTATTCTTAAATAATCCCCTTAGTCCAGTTCCAAACCTTCAAGATTGTATCATATTTTTTGTTTCTATAGAAACTTTATTTCCAATCTTATCAAAAGTATTGCTTAGGACTCTAATCCAAAGCAAGCATTATTGAGCCACTTCTGCATAAAAAGTGCACCTATCACACAATAAGAAAGCAAATTTAGGGGAGCAAGAGGAAAACTGTCAAATCACTGGCTTTCCAGATAAGACAACTCTCAGTTTTAGTAAGAAACAAAATGTGGAATGATCAACTCTGTCAAAATTCAACTAGAATGTTTTGGACATTTGAATAAAATTGGCAGATTTGATCATGCTTTTTATTTTCAAATTGTTTTTTGGGACTCAAAGCAAACATTTGAAATGTCAAGGACTTAAGCTATTTGTTAACCAATTTACAAATAGGAGCCTATATATCTTATTTTGAAAAGAGTTACCTAATATATTTTTTTAAAAAGCTAATTAATTTGTAAATATATATTCTTTTCTCCAAAACAAAATTGCTCTCATCTTATGATTTTCTACAATACAGAAACAGTCTTTGAATATATAACTGCCTAAAGGTTTTTACTTTTTTATTTTTACTCATCTAGATAAAAAATTCAAAACTAATATATGAACTATACTGCCCCTGTGCAGTGAATGCTCCAAAAGAGCAAGTTTCTTAGAATCAGTAGAAATGCAAATTTAAAGGGAAAAGCAAATAAAAGTTGGAGCAGGGATCGAATCTTTATGGAATTACTGCAGCAGTTGGCAGATAAGACAATTAGGCCACATCAGTAGAGAAACAAATGCACAAACACATGAATCTTTGATCAATTATCTAAAGTTGTTTCTCTTGAGATCATGATGAACAAGCTTACAACATCTGATCAGAAAGAATCCTAAAACAGCTACAATCATCCCTTGGTATCTATAGGGGATTATTTCCAGGACCTATCTCAGATATCAAAATCCGAGGATGCTCAAGTCCCTGAATTAAAATGGCCTACTATTTGCATATCACTTATGCACATTCTCCTGGATACATTAAATCTCCCGTAGATTACTTATAATAGTTAATATAGCATCAATGTTATGTGAATAGTTGTTAGTCTGTGTTCCTTAGGGAATAATGGCAAGAAAAAAAGTCTGTATATATTGAGTACAGATGCCTATATTTTGATCCATGTTTGGTTGAATCCAAAGATTTGGAACCCATTAATACAGAGGGTCAATTATACTATGTTTTGGAAACCTATCTTTTTTATATAATTTACTTTTTATTTTTTTTTTAAAATAGACACAAGGTCTTGCTATGTTGCCCCGGCTGGTATTAAACTCCTGTGCTCAGGTGATCTATCTGCCTAGACCTCCCAAAGTGTTGTGATTACAGGCATGATCCACCTTGCCTGGCCAAGGAACTTCTCTCTTTTGTCTTGTTTCCCTTAAGTTGGTTATGCCTGTGGTTATTGTTAGAGGGAATTTCTTACTAATTCTAAGTTTCTCTGGGAAAATCAACTTTCTATTCGTAAAATGTTAATTAATTGCCAACGATGCCTTCAAACTACAAAAGTATTCCATGATAAATGTGCATTTTATAATAATAGAAACAATCCAAGTCTCAAATTATGGAATCTTGTCTATCAGTGTTGATTTGCTATCAGAGGGTGACCAGATAGTGACAAGAGCAAAAAATGGAAAGAGGCAGAAAGAATCAGCTAAAGCACATAGTTGTAAGAGTCGCAGAGGCCAACGTGAGTAGCCAGTCATAGCTGACAGAATGTATAGAATGCTGGCATAGCAGGATGAGATATGTCATCTTACGTCTCTTGAGAAACATGACAGCCCCTTAGATGTAGAACATTTCTCATTGATTTCTATTTATCCCGTAAACTAGAACAGGCAGCACAACACAGAGCTGTAGTAGTCTATCCAAACATTTTCCTTTTTATATTTACATTTTCATGAAAAGAAATTCAATGAAACCTGAAAAATAAACCTAAATAAGGCTAATGGAAATGGTTAAATCTATCACGTGAAATTTAATTTCTCATTAACTTATACTCCTTGTTATCTATCTATAAATTCTGGAACCTCTGAACATCTATTGGAATGTTTACTGGTATAAATTCTGAAACCATTGAGCATCTATTGAAATGATCAGTGGTTCCAGAACTTACCTAACGGTGGCAGAAATATTGATCAAATCCTCATATCATCTCTATGATACTTTTGATCCAATCCTCTAAAAACAAGAGTTTTAAAACATTTAAAACAAGAGTCCGCGATTTGTCATTTTGTTCTATTATAAATTTATGTGACACATGGAGCTTTTTGCTAATTAATATATCTACTAATGTACACTATTAAAGAATACAGGCCAAATCAAGGAATTTAGGTGTTTTTTGTTTTTTGTTTTCTTTGTCTGCTACAGTGTATTGCACCTTATGGTCATCTAACACAAGAGCTTCTTTTCCATGTTTTTAGAAGTCCCACCACGTGAAGCAGAACTTGCCTCCCACCATTAGTTGAAAATATGAGATAGTCTCTTTCCCAGCTAAGTGCACAGCACAGGTGTATTTTTACCAGACAACTTTTATGATATGATTTAATCATTGTTTCTTGCTGTATATCTTTGAAGAAGCTGTGTAAGTTACTCAGTACCTGTTTAACAAACCCATTTTCTGCTTTCATCAAGCAGAGTTAGTTTCATTTGCTGAATGATAGAACAAATGAAGAGGCATGGTTGCAGACTGCAGTCTATCGTGAGAAAGGAGCGAAGCAAAGGGTCTAATATCTGGCCTGGTGGAATGGAAAGCAGTGAAAATCCTATTTATATTAATTGATGGTACTTCAGAAAACACAGCATCAAATTATTTACTAAATCACCTGGGATGAAATACCCACTGAAGATAAGGCTTTGGGGAAATAAGTGGCCAGTCCCCAGAAGTAGTTTCAAGGGCTTGAAGAATTAAAAGACAATTCTTGGGAAAGGGTAGTTACTTCTAACAGTACCATACAACTTATACACAAAGAGAAAGGCAGGGTAAAGGAGGATAGCTAAGGATCTGTTCCACATTTATGGAACAAATTTATCCATCTGTCTGATTTTGTTTCCTGGACATATATTTTTCTGAAGAAAATTTGCAGTGGCATGGGTGCCTGATGGAGCACTAATAGGGACTAAAATCACTCCTTTCACAAAATATTCAACTTGAATTTTGAATGATTTCCCCTACACTGGGAAGAGATACTATTAAGTAATTAAATCCAAGATAGATAAGGAAATAAAAGAACATCTAATCCTTAACTGTGTTAAAATTTTCATGTCAAGATAAGTGAATTGTGTCATTAATTAGGCAGGTTAAGGTATAAGGCATGCTTCAGACTTGAAAATGCAGAGTTCAATAGAGAAGTAGGGAACAAAGAGTGAGCAGGAAGTTGAGGACAGTATATAGGATTTGAAGACAGGAGAAAGCTAACCTGACAGCAAACATTGGCCTCAAGAGAGGAACAAGTGTTTAAAGAAGTGTCAAACAAGACTCAAGTAAGCATTGACACCAGCTTAATCTCTAATGCAGAGTTTTAGCAGCAGGGGAATCTGATTCGTTGTTCAATTCATAAGTTGGCAAAATACCCATCCCTTCACATTTCCTAAGGAAGGGGGACCTACAATATTATAATTCACTAAGTCAATGAGACCTCAACAACTGGCTTTCAGTTAAGTTGATGTCTCAGGAGGCTCAATTTTTTAAGATTTTTAAAAAAAGAACTGAGGTAACTAAGGACTAATGACGGTGGGAATCCAACCTATTAACTCAGGCCTATAATAAGATGAGTGGGGAATACAAAGATTTAACATTATCTTAGGTACCTAACCAATAGCACAGGAGTTTTTGGTCAGCACGAGAGTTGTGCAGTGCAAACAGATACCCAATGTCAGAGACAAGGCCATTTCCAAAGTCCCTAATAACAAAATTTCCTGCTTCAACTAAGATTCTTCAGGACCTAGACTGATACTGATTTTTAAAATTCTGTGGCATCCATTTGTATGGCACAACACTGACTGAAGAAAACAAACCAAGACAAGGTTTGAAAAATTGCCTAAGAGGTTATTTAAAAGATTTTGCTGTCGTGGTTTAGAGATCACAGGGAATGAGAGTTTTGCAGAAGACCAGAGATGATCATTGTAGTTTCTACTTTGAAAAAAGAAAAACAGATAAATCGTTTAAAAGTAGATTAAAAAATAGAGGTAGACTTCGCTTCTTGAAGAAATTCCATTTGGATCATTAAGCAGAGAAATTTTCAACTTTAGGGAAATAATGTAGTAAACATTAAATGAATTAACGAGTCACTTAGATAAGATATACCAAGATAGCATCATTTCCTTTTTAAAATACAAGGTTTCTAGACTGGTGGTAGATAAAACAAAAACCAAATGTGTAGTCTACAAAATATTTGATTGAAGCCCTTTTTGATAATCTGTGAAAAAGATAGTGAAACATTAACTGAGTAGTAGTATAGATATTAACAATGTAAATCATTTAGTAAGAAGTTACACACTGAATATGAAGTTGAAACTGACTTTTTCTGACTATAAAATTCCTTATATATTAAGGACATTAGTTATTTAAATTTTTTTATAGAAATTTAACTTAAGCCAAGTGGCGCAATATAGAGATAATGCAATTAATTTGTAAGTCTATAATCATCAAATAACTTTATATTGTCCCATTTCTTTATAATTTTCACATTTTGATCACAGTTACTTCTCGTAATAGGCTTTGATAGGAATTGACATTTTTATCTTGCTTTGGCCTGCATTTCATGGCACCTTTATGTCTTCTTTGTTAGATGTGTTACAATAGATAACACCTTTTCCAACATTCTGCAATTTCTTCTCTGAAGACAGGACCACCTGGAGAACATTCTGCTTTTTCATTTCATGTTTTCTGATAAGAATGAACTTTGATGGCAGTCTCTCTATTTAGGTGAATGGTTTGTGTGACCCCATTTCTCCTCTTGCTTTGATCTGTAGGTGTTCATCCTAAGTAGCACACTTAGAATAGAGAATCTTGTATGCCTGAGAGATTCTGAAACTTTTACCAGGCTAATGATAGTTCATGCAGAGAAGTCACAAATATTGTATGGAGCTTTAAAAATTCCCCACTTATCTTTCTAATAGAAGACCACCTGTTCATCATGGAATGTGAGATGGACGCCTGAATTGCAATGAAGCTGGAGAAGATACTGCATTACAGTTAGGGATTCAGCTCATTTTAGGTTTAGGTCCCAGGCTTGTGCCAGCTAGTGGTCATCCTGAAGCTATTATGTTTCATCAGTTTCTATGAGACATATTGTGAGACACAGTGTCTTCTGCAACCCTGGGTTCTCAGGGTGGACACAACTTTAAAAGTGTAACTTTTCTCTTTGGTTTCCATTTTTCTATTTTCCTCATATGACTAGAATAATCTCTGCTTATTAGATTGTTACTCTTGTTTTCCAGCCTTCTAAAGGGTGGATTTTCCCTCAAGAACTTATCTTTTGGCTTCTTTTTTCTTACTGATCAACCATCTTGCTCTGATGATCTTATCTAATTTCATGATTCTAACCATTTCCTCTATGAGAATGACTCCCAATCCCCATATCTAGTCCTGATCCCTTTCCTAATCTCCAAATTTACAGTTTGGACTCCCTGTGCAGCGTGACAGAGTGCTCAACTCAACATTTTCAAAACTTATTCCCTATTCCCATACTCTCAATTCTCAGAAAATAAAAAGGAAAGAAATCTTGCTTCTACAATTTAAAGAATAAAATAGGCCAGATGACATGGCTCACACCTGTAATCCCAACTTTTTAGGAGGCTGAGACAGGTGAATTACTTGAGCCAGTTCAAGTTCAGCTGGGCAACATGGCAAAACACAGTCTCTGCAAATTTAAAAAAATTAGCTAGTTGTCGTAGCACGCCCCTGTAGTCCCAGCTATTTAGGAGGCTGAGGCAGGAGGGTCACCTAAGCCCAGGAGGTAGAGGCTGCAATGAGCCATGATTGCGCCACTGCAGCACTCCAGCCTGGGTGACAGAGTGAGACCCTATCTCAAAAATAATAAACAAATTTTTAAAAGTTAGCTTTTGTAACTAGTGCAACTAATACTATATTTGCATTCATCAAACATGAATTCAGGTTAAAAAAAAAATTCCATTGTCATAGACTGTATCACCTACTGTAATATATTTTACTTGTAGTGTATTTTACTCTGCCTCTTGTCCATTTTTAAAACTACTCCCTAGTTCAGGCCCATTTTGCTTTTTACTGTTATGATAATTTTCCAGTGGATTCCCTACCTCCACAGCATGTTATACACTGTTGAGGCATTTATTCCTAAAACATAGGAGTAATTATGTCACATTCTTGGTTATAATCCTAAAAGGTTCCCCATGGTTTACCAAATTAAAGATAAAATCCTTGCCTGACTTCTTGACAGCAGCTACATCCTACTTTTTGGCTTTATTTTCCATCATTTCAACCAGAAATGAGGATAGTTGTTAC